CGGTTGGCTGGTGGGTTTCATGGGGTTGTGAGTTATTAGTTTAGCTATTTTAATAAATCATGCCATGTACTTATCAAAAAAAAATAAATCATGCCATGTTATTACAAAAGTCTTGAAGTCACAACCTTGTAAGGTTCGCAGGACCCTATGAGAATGACGACTTAGATGGTTGGACGGTTTTATAGACTTCAATAAGCTCTTTATTGACAATATTGATGCAATCTTAGTAATAGGTTAGAATTGGTACTTGCGGAGTTAAATTAAAATGGTTTTATGTTGCTGCATAAAAGAAATTCAGTGGACATTTCAGTATATGTAGAGCTAGATCAAACATGAGGGGCAAAAAATGATTCATTTGGCAGATCCTGAGTTTTATAAGAATAAGGCCTGCCTTGTTGCTGCTCTCTCTCTCTCTCTCTCTCTCTTAGCCCGTATCATGCTCTCTTTGATAACAATTGGCTAAAATCTAAAACTAAGCAAGTTCTTCCCTTTTTAATCGGCTAGTAAGCCAAATTGGCCAAAAAAATTGGGACCTCCCTCTTTCATTTGACTTGAGGAGCATAGAAAAATTCAGATCTCTAATACTAGTGGGCCCACTCAACCAACTTGCTGTTTTTGGCATCAAACCTTAGCTGTAGTAATTTCATGGAATTATCTTGTATGTGTGATTATGGCAACTATTAGGCTCTTGTAAAATTATCTTGACACTCCTTAATTTGTAATGTGCGTAGTTTTAAATTCTTCTAATTTCTTGAAGGGGGTAGTTTTGTTGTTTGTATTTGCAAGTTTCTCATGCGTGTTTATAAGCCACTGAATTTGTAACGATCCAGCTTTTATGTCCAAGCCGTTATATCATATGTACTGTCGCTTTGGGTGGGTGGATCCCACCTACCTCTTCACGACTTTCTATCTCATCCCCTAAAATTCGAACCCAAAACCTTTGCCAATTGAGAGACTTAACTTGAATCATAGTACCAATTGGGCAAGAATTCAAGACTTCTGCCTAATAAGAGATTTAAGTTAAATTCTGGTACTAATTGGGCAAGTATTGGTATCAGGATTCAACTTAAATCTCTTATTAGACGGAGGTCTTGAGTTAGAATCTTAAGAGAAAGCCGTGAAGGGGTAAGTGGCCAGATGTCTACCCAAAGCGGACAGAACGTACGATATAACAGCTTGCACATAGAGATCGGGTCGTTACAGAATTTCTTTGTATGATACCTATGCTAAATAATGGCTACAATTGTATTTGTTTTGGTGCGAGTAACTGAATCTAGAAAGCCTTTCTTTATTTGGACATCATATACAACTATTGGATTTGTTATTCCCTTGTCATGATTTTTCGATACATAAAAATGGTAAAAAAAAATTCCAAATTATAGGGGACTCTGGCAATATGTAATCTTTGTAGGATGAACTGAGCAGTATTTTTGAATATGTGTAGGTAGAAGAATGACAATAGTTTAATAACATTAACAAGGCGTTAATGTAAGAAAAATGGGGCCAAGTTGCTTAGCTATTTCAGCAACAGCCAATTGAGAAAAAGAGATTTTGCTTACTTTGTCTCTCTATGATGCACCGACACGGACACGTTTGTCCGACACGATACGTGTCGGATACGTCGACACGCGATTTTTTAAGAAAGTACAGACATGTCACGTCATCGACACGTTGATTAAATTCTTAAAAATTCTTCATTTGTATAATATAAATTTAGTTTTATACTTGTTATTAATTTTTCTTGTTGAAATCTTTTAAATATAAGTTACTTGCTAATAATTTTAAATTAACAATATATAATATTTCTAATATAAAAAGAAAAATGATTATGATAGAGTGTCCGAGGAGTGTCGGTATCGACTCGTGTCCAACGAACACGCTACGCTAATTGAAATGTCCATGCTACAGAGTTGTCTCTGAGCAAACTCCTATAGAATTTAGTTTTCAACGGACCTGTGGTATGTAGAGATAAACAAGAGAGACAGAGATAGAGAGAGTAATGTAGGAAAATGTTTTACTTTGCTGGTTGGTGAATTTTTTCCATTCTAAAGGATCTAATAATTCCTGAACCCTCTATTTGTGCGAAAGAGCAATTTTATCCATCACAAACTAACTTTTTGCCATTGAAAACGATCTTCTTGTGTCTTGATCCATCCCTAGACTATCAAATGTAGTTCAATTCTTGTAGAATATTGTAAACTAGATGATAGAATTTGTGGATACCTTATTCTAGGAATACAGTGGGATTCTTAAAACTTTCAGTAGAAACTGCTAGCGAAAATTGAAATTTTTAATAATGTAGCATTATTATGGAAACTGGAGGTCCATCTCCTTCCTATGGCTTGGATGGGAAAATTAGAGGACTGAATTTAGCTTTTTGTTGCCTATGAATTTGGATTTAATTCTTTCCCTTCCTATATTTATATTCATAGTTTATTCCCTTTCACCCATCCCTTATCCCAATCCAACTAATAAAAATGAAAAAGAAAAGAAAAGGAAGGAGAATAATGATAGATGTTCTTTGCTTTCCATCCACAGCAGGACAGGTGTACCCCTCTACTGAAGGCGAATATGTATTTTATATTCCGGTATTAATAAATTTTCCAACCTTGTGGTGGTTTGATAGAAAAGCATAGCAGTCAATAGTCAGTTTTCAGCATCCTCTCTTGTAGATACCTTTTAATTTATAGTGTGTTAATTAACACTTTCCAATTTGTTTTTATTTTGTGCAGGCTTGGCTAATCTTTCTGTTACAGGTAAAGATAGTATTTAAGAAGGCTCTCTCTCTCTCTCTCTCTCTTTGCTTCGTCTTTAGCCATGCTGCAATCTTGGATAGAATCTGCATTGTAAATTAACTTGGGTTCTGTTGTTCATTGTTGGTGATATGTGAAATTGTTTCTAAAGATTCTAAAAGCTGGCTCAGCGTTGGTCTTTCCCCTCAAACTTTTTCATCCCTCTTGTTAAGCCCCTATTTGAAGTTTGAACCACATTCTTTAAAACTCATTTTTCTTCAAACTCGTTTTCAACTACACATTCTTCCCATAAAATAATTTTGCACGTAAATCCAAATCTTTTTCCTACTTTTTAACCACTCGTTCTCCAAAAAAAATAACATTTTTACAAAATCTATTTTCAAAAATGGAGCTTAAAGAGGGGGCTAATTTTCCCCCCGTTTATTTGTTCGAAAGTTTGTGGGCTGAAGTTAAAAGTTGAGCAGTGATATGATATAGCAAGTATCTTCCTTTTATAGGACCCTCATGGAGCTCAAGATTATCAAAATTTTGCCAAGTGGCCTAGATTAGTGTGTTTGGCTAAGCTTAAAAGTTTACTTAAATTTAAATAATTTGATTTTAAAATAAATAATTCTTTTTCCGTCAAAGTTGCTGGCTTTAATTTTGGGGCTAGTTCAAATTATGCTACGAAGGGTATCAATTCAACTCGTGATTTTTAACAGCGTCAAGGTTTTGTGCATTGCTACTAAAACACATTTCACATGAAATTACATTCAATTTTTCATTGCAATAGATTGCGGAAAAGATGACCCTGATCTTAAGGAAGAAATGGAAAAACAATATGTGGACTTGTTGTCTGAAGAGCTGAAACTGCAAGAAACAGTCGGTAAAGAGCATTCCCAACATATGAACATCACCTTCGGGGAGGCACGGCGATTGGCTTCCCAATACCAGAGAGAAGCTGAAAAATGCAATGCTGCCACTGAAACTTGTGAGTCGGCCAGAGAGAGAGCGCAGGCCTTGCTCACTAAGGAAAAGAAGATAACTTCATTGTGGGAAAAAAGAGCGAGGCAGCTTGGTTGGGAGGGAGAATAAATAACTACTAGCAATATGTTTTGGATGGGTTCTCTACATGTGAATCAATGCGTGCTCTTAACTCATAAATTAAGCAAAACTTTCACGAATTTATGAGTGCCACTCCTAATTTCTTCTTTTATTTTTCTCTCTAGGAAAAAATAGAAATCCAAAATATATGTAATATGACCGTAAGATCTGGTCTAAAATTGCTATCTTGTGTTTATTATCGCATATTTGAAGTTTAGGCCAGTATTTTAAGAGAATTTGTGAATGCTTCCAAATAGCATCTCTACTAATCTCTTATCATATTTATCGTCTTTTCCTTCGATTTTATTGGTGTAAAATGCATGGACCTCAAAGTTATTCTAGGTACGTATTACTTGATTCATATCACAAGAAATTATTAACATAGGACATGTCGTGAATCTCTTCGACAGTGTTGTTAAAGACATGTTTCTTATATTAAATATAGTTGATAATACACAATTTTTATCTTTATGCACGTTCAATATTATTCAATGTTTCATAATCCTTCATCTAGATACAAATTTGATTTATAAATTCAGTCGAAATTAAACATTGATTTCAATCAAACATTCATAATCAATAACTATTTTTCATGCATTACGTTCCCCCGCTATGCCTCTTTATACACTATTTATAAATTTATCAAATGGAGAGATTGTTAAAAGTGTAGAAGCCTTGTAATGTTCTATATTATCCTTGCATAAAGTGCAATCCTCCTGTTGGAAGTTTTTGCACGGTTAACTTTGTGATCAGTGCTTCCCATAAGATTGTAGTATATGCACAACATGTTTCTGCCTAAATATAAAAAGTGCCCATGTAATTCAAGCCAATGGTCATCATCAAATGGCAGCACATCCCAGAAGATTTTTCTACTTAGTTTAAACTGATTTGTGCAGCTAAATTTTCAACATATCCTTGCAGAAGGAATACACAATAATAATCAACGACAATGGACATAGACAATGAACCCTAAAACTGACACTGATATTTTCATCTTTTGTTTCTATAGGCAATGGTCATACCTTACACAGATTTTGTCATTCCTAGTATACATGACACTAGAAAAGTCAAATGATAACTTAAGTTCTCGTTGGATGGAAATTTTTTGTCATTCTCAGACCAAGAAAATTGCCAACTCAACAGGATCTGGATCACACAAGCTAATTTCTAACTCCATATCGTTTCACAGTCGTGATGAAATAAATACTGCCACGTAATCTGACCAGCTAAACTGTAAGTTGAGCGCTCGAAAGCAATCAATAATCCATACCTTTCTGCATTGGCACATGAAGTAAGAAGCATCTAGCCGTAATGCAGCATTTTCCTAACTGATAAGAAAGAAGCAATTATCTCTTCGGAAATCTCAAGCATTTGTTGTGTTTGGATTCTGTTATACTTGGGGCTGCACTAAATTGAGCTTTGTTTCGTTTTGAAAAGGAGTGTTTTTCCATTGCATTTACAAATTTGCGCAAGTGCTTAATGTACTCGGGGAAGGTTTCAAGATTGCAGTGTCCTCCACCTTGGACCCATAATGGATCGTATTTCTCTTTAGAAAGTTCCCACAATCGCTTACCATGGGACCAATCGACAATATCATCATTTGTGCCCTGCAAACATTGAACCAACAGAAATAAGATTGTTGAAAATGCAAGCCGCTTGTGTTACCTAGTGCCTGCTTGGGGGTTTGGGGGGGTTGAATACAAGTAGAGGTTAAATGTTGCCAACGAAGTTTTTTTTTTTTAATGATACACAGTTATGCTAATCTGTTTAATAGGGTTCCATAAGATTGTAAACCTATCCCAAATCATAAACGTAAGCATATAATGGTCTTTGGACAAGACAAAAGCAAAGTTTACAGTGGTTGAAAGTGTCTCTCTCTAAAGGGCTAAGTTATCTAAGCAGACTTGTGATTATCAGATTCAAACCATTGCAATCAATTCATCATCTACATAGGGCAACAGAAGTTGACCAGACTCCAAGCCGCCAATGGAGATTCCTTGAAAAATGTGATCAAAATGAAGTAAAACCTTATCCACAAAGAAAGTTTTCTTTCGTATGTTCTGCCAATTATTCCACATTTTAGTTTCTCAGGTCCAGAATATGAGTTCTTTTTCTTCCATCTGAACCTGAGCACTCTCTTAAAGGGTTCATAGTTATTATAAGTTAATTCATCTTCCCATACTGTTCAAAAGTTGTACTCTTCTCTTGTTTGAGTTTTATCAACTTGACTAAAAGAAAAAAGAGAAGAAGCCCGAAAAACATTTAGTCCCATAGAAAATATGACTATCTTGTGAACATGCTTTAATAGATCACCAGTCGTGTTCATTAATATTGCCACGGAAGATCAAGAAAATCTTTCTAATTACCACTTCCTTGTACACTTTTCTTACTAATATATTTAATATCATCAGGCATAGCTGACTCTTAAATTTTGATTTTATTCGTAATCTTGACAATGCTTCGATGTTCTCTTTGGAGACTGAAGCCAATAAAAAGCAACTACATTAATCACATTACTATAATTTCCAATTCCTTATTTCTCCCTTAATTTAGGAAAATATTAACCCTTAAAGTCTATAGCAGCCATCAAAGTGCCAGCTCAATGAGGAGATGGCGAAGTGTAGACATACATGATTGGTCTGCAACGTGAAGGTAATACAACAATAGACTAAAAATAAAATTAAAACGCCACATAGAAAACTTGAAAACTTTTCATTTTGAAATTGAGAAATGTAATTGCAGCATAGAGAAATGGATGTCCTGAAAATGCATTTGGAGACAACAGAGACGAGAGAGGTCATTCTTACATGTATAACTAGAACAGGGCAATTTACGTTCCGTATTTTGTCTATGTTCTGCAAAGAATGAACAGAAACTTTGTCAATCACAAACCTAAATAAAAAAACTGGATTAGGAGATAAAATGGAAAAAAGACAACAACTCACGAGAAACTTACTTTAAAGATGTCGAACCAAAATGTCAACTTGACATTGTACAGAACTCGTATTCCTGAAAGAATGGCACTATGGAGAACAACAGCTCTCAACCTTGGCGAACGAGCTGCCAAGTGTAGAGTTGGACCACTCCCAACAGATTGACCATACAAAATAACATCCTCTTGCTTGATTCCATATTCATTCTTCAAACAGTTATAGACAGCCTCGATGTCATAGTATGTGTTGAACTCAGATGGCTGTCACATGAAAAGAATGCATCAAGAATAAATATATCCGTTAATGGCATATAATATGGCTTGTTATTGCATTCATATTATTATGAAAGTGAACATTCATGGCCAATTTATTTCAGATAGTTTGTCCTTTTTTATATTTGAAACACCTTTTATTCTACACATATCTAGGGGGGTCAAAGAACATCCAATCAAAATCTCACCTTACCGGTGGATGCTCCATATCCCGAATAGTCATAGCTGCGAGGTGAAAGAAATTACATTGTTAGAAACAACTATACAAAATAGAAGTTTTGAAATCCATTCGCTTTGTCCGTGTGTAAATTGCTCCATAAATTAAAAATTATTGACTCTGAAATGCTAATCCGAACCAATTACAGCAGTAGGCCGGCAAGCCGAAAACTGAACCCGAACAAACAAAACTCAAATCAAACCTACATTTTATTGTGTTAAGCTGCTTCAAATCAAATTCAAATTTGAAGACCTCAATTCCATGATAGCAAAAACGGTGTTCAACAATTCTAAATTAAACAACCTTAGGAAGAACCAAATACATAACTAAACCAACAAAAAGGACAAAAGAAACACCACATCAATATTAACACAAATCATACCTTCAGCAACTCTTTGAATTCAAGTCATAATTAACTAAAATCGATTCCCCAACCCAAAATTATGATTTCCCTTGTTAATATGTAAATTACATACACCAAAATGACGAGAAAGCAAAAATGTTGACTTTCCCCTTTTACATCTCAATAAGGAAATTACTGATAACCATAATCTTTAAGGCACCCATGCTCAATGCCAGCATAACAATCAAAACCCATAAAATTTACATTCCAATAGAATCAATACACCCTCAAACATTGCATAAACAAGCCCAATTTATTCAAAGAAAAATATACAAACCTCATGATATTTACGCGGAGGTGGGCCCTGAGCTCAATAAACAGGTCCTGCATCTGTCCCAAGTCGGCGGCGTTTCCATGGGAGTACAAAATGGTGAACCTCCCCGTCGGGTGCTTCCAGAACGTAGCCACAACCTTGTTGCCGCCCTTCGTCTGAAGCAAATGCACGTCCACGTTTTTATCTGCCGTTAAACCACTCATCACCAGCCGCCCATCCAAATCATCACAGTATACATCGTACGTGGGTGGGTCCGGCGGGAAAAATGCAAACTTTGCCGCCACACTTGACGTCACATTTCCCATTGATCACTTCCCTTTTAAACAACAAAAAAATCACCTATCAATCAAAATTCCAGGCTTCAAGCCATAGACACACCTCCTACGGTATGGAATTTCATTCCCAATAAATGAATATCATATCGAAATTCAAAACTGGTTTTCTCTTTTAAAAAAAATGTTTTTGGATTTTTGGGTGTCCTGCTTTCCTTCTTCTTTTTTTTTTTTTTCCGGGCTTGTGTTTGTTGATGATGATGATGAAGAAGAAGAAGAAGATCCGATCTAAACGGAGGACGGAGACAAAGGAACTAAAGAAGCTGAAAGAGAAGTGTATGGATTTGTGCGTTGCACATTTTTTGTATTTTTTAATGTTAAAACAATGAAACACTGAACATTGTTTTTTTTATGTATGGTTATGGATACCCATTATTGACGAATGCGAAAAGTCAACTTTATCCTTGCTATTATTCTAGAATTTTCTTGGATTTTGTCTACTTTAGACAAGTATATAATTGAGGGGTAAAATTGAACTTTTGAATTAAAAAGAAAAATATTATTTCGATACAAAATTAAGCATGGGTTCCTTAAAGATTATTGTTTTAAAAATTGGCCGGGAAATTATTCGAAAAGAAAAAGGTTTATGAGTCGAATCTGGATAGAATCGAAATCCATCCATGATTTCAAATAAATAAATAAGTTCACAAAAAGAATCAATGATGGATTTTTGGATGAGATTCATAAATTTAAATCGGCGAAACTGGAAACACGTCAATGATTTTCATAAAATCCAACGAATTGACAAATTTTTCGAGTTTTTTTTTAAAAGATGAATTTTGTCGCCTAACAGTCCCAACTTTTTCCAGTTCTTGATTTCACTTGTCGATTCGAATCGCTTCTAATTACATTGAGTTTGATAAGTAACCTACCATTCTAGTATAATTTGAGTGAGTTGATAGTGTCCAAAACTTGTATGAGAGATAAGCATATAATTTATTGATCATGACATTGAATGGGACTTTACATATTATATGTTGGTTAGAATATTTCTTTCAAAGAAGTTAGTTAAAATTTCACATTGTGCATGTCATTATATATTATAGAAAAGTTCAAGAAAGAGTTTAATCATGCATATATGGTCTCATGATTAGGCTGGCCATGTGTTACAAGTTGAATGAAGTATATAATGATCAAACACCTTATCGAGAAAAGTTAAAAATAATCAATTGCATGTATTTGATTAGTGCAATTATGGTATCATTGATTTGAGTAGCCAAGTGTTGGAAGTCGAATGAAATATATAATAATCAAAGAGCTTGTTGAGAAACATTAAAAATAACCAATTGCTTGTATTCGATTAATGCATATTTGGTCTCATTGATTTGGGTAGCCACGTGTTAGACGTCCAGTATATAATGATCAAACAATTTGTCAAGAAAAGTTAAAAACAATCGATTGCGTGTATTTGATTAATGCAATTATGGTACCATTGATTTGAGTAGCCAAGTGTTGGAAGCCGAATGAAGTATATAATGTTTAAAGAGCTTGTCGAGAAACATTAAAAATAACCAATTGTGTGTATTCGATTAATGCATTTATGGTCTAATTGATTTGGGTAGCCACGTGTTAGAAGTCGAGTATATAAATTTATCAACAAAAGTTAAAAATAAACAATTAATTGGGTAGCCATGTGTAATAAATCAAATTTAAGTGTGCAATGATCAAACTATTAATCAACAAAATTAACTACAACCAATTAAGCATATTAGTTTTCTAAAAGTTGAGTTTGGAATTTAAATTCAGATTTATAACATTATAAAGATGTTACAACATTAGTTTTGTAGAGAGAGAGAGAGAGAGTTTTATTACATTAACCTAAGATTACTCAAAAAAATAGATAATAAATCCAACCCAAATTGGAAAAAATTTTAATAATATTTTTAATTGTAATAAAGGTCTCAAATTTTTGCTCATTTCGACATTTATGCCTTCAACTTTTTCGTTGTATTTTTACCTTTGAACTTCAATTAATTAACACATATTGTCTCTAATTACGATTTCTGTATAAATATTATGCTAACGTATGAAAAATATTTTATCGAACTTTCATATTTTTTATTTATCTTGCTTATTAAAAAATACTCTATGGCGGGTTTTTTTAACTCCCTCTTAACGAATTTTTTTGGCATCATCAAGAAAAAGATGTGTTAATTAATAGAGATCAATGATAGACATACGATGAAAAAATCGAGAAGATGAGTGCAAAAGTAAGTAAAAATTAGAGACCTCAATATAACAAAAAGTGTGGTGTAAATATGATTATCAATTCAAACATAATCCATGCAATAAGACTAATATTTTTTTTATTTTTGAAACATTTTATTTTAGTATAGGAAAAGGGGCAGGAATGAATTTTCAGAGACAAACATGCCCACATGTCACAAGCAAATGAATAAAAGAGAGAAAAATAAAATTATAATAGTAAAGAACGTTGAAAAGGGTATATCTTGTGAGAATGATGGACGGCTAAGATTCGGTCAAAGGCTGCCGTGGATCTATTCAGAAAGAGAATTGCAGATTGGAGTGTCAGAGGTTGTCAGGGTCAAACATTCCTTCGTTGTTGTGTCAATGAATCCATTCTAACGTTGGGTTGACGATTCCTTAACCAATTCCAAGAGTTTCATTTTGTGTTGGCTTTTTCTTTCTGATTCTCTTTTTACTTTTTTATTATTTTGTTGCTATTCAAGATCAACGATAAAATGTATCTGAGCTTCAGTGACTTGTATGAATTATGTTCACATAAATTTACTTATATTCACTTAAGTAGCGGGGTGTCGAATATGCTTTTGAGATGTTACTGAATTTGTGGTATATGATATCGAGTTAGAATTGACATGCATGAAAGTCGAGCTAGGCGCTATTTAGCGAATTTGAGCTCCATGAGTCTTGCTGAATTCCATGCATGATCAGGTCGATCTTTGCATGCGTTTTAACAGTTTAATCTTATGATCCATTTAACATGACTTCTACTTTTACTTTTTATGGAAGAGCTTTTTGAAAAAACTATTTTTAAACAAAATTACTTTAGAAATTCTTCTAGTAAAATAAAACACGTTCAAAAATTATTCAAACATATTTAAAAATAATGGGCGACGACGTACCTTTGTTTTTAGGCTTTCATCATATTTAATGACATCTCTGGTTGGACTTTTACCCTGATCTCTCTAGATGGGCTTCTTCTCTTGGACCATTTCCTTTCTTGGGCCATTTGATTTGAGCTGAATATTTTGTGTGTCAACAGACACTTTTCGATGAAATAAGGCAACTTTTTTGTCGAGTTTTGCATTGATCAGTCCTTATCTCTGAGCCCATATTTGGTATAGATTAAAATCAGTAGGATAATATAAATCAAAATTAATAATTTACATGGAATATATAATTTTTTAACTACACATTTCATTAATTTTTATCAAAATCTACTAAAAAATTAATTTTAATGCTCACCAAACAAAGCCTAATTCTGTGTGCTCAAATCGATTCCTTTTACCATTTTTTTCCCATTTCTCTGTCAAGTGCTTGTTTGGAATAGTTTAAATTACGATTAATAACAGAAAATCCTCTAAAACGTTTCAAATTGCGATATACCCCCATACCTATTGAAAATCGTAGAAAACCCCCTATTTGAAATATTTTGTGCGAAAAACCCCATACCGTCCAATTCCGTTAATTTTACCGTTAAAAATAGTAAAAATTGCAAAATTAAAAATGAATAATTACAGTTGTGATCCTAAACTTATTTATTTATTTATTTTTACAAATTACACTAAAATCTTTTATTTGTAAAAAAAAGATTATAGTTGATATTTCTAGGGTTTGAAGAAGTGAAAATATTAGGAAGAAACTATGTTTTTGGGTTTGGGCCACCAAAATTCACGGATCCTTAAAGTACTTTGCAGTTTAGATTTACGTTTTATTTCTACGGTACTCTCTATGTAAGTACTACAATACCGATCTTGACGAGAAGTTAGTTCCTCAAACTCGTAAATGTTAAGTTTACCTGAAATAAATCTTGAGAATTGTGAATATTTATGCTCTATTGATCCTTTGGAATATGAATCATGGCCACTTTTACAATATATAGGGGAGTCAGCAGTCACATAGTACAACATTGCTGAGAATGCCTTTAATAATTGTGAACCTCCGGTGGTCACGACTGAGAATGGTGGTGGCTATAAGGTTATTAAGTCAACTGTTTTTGCTGAGCAAGAGCATTTAGCAGCACCACCACCACCACCGCTGCCGTAGGTAGAGCATTGGGCATGTGCGATATGAGAGGGTTTGAGAGAAGAGTAGAAATGAGGGAAGAATTTTGTAGATTTTTTGTTTAGTTTGGGGTGGGATTGAGGATGGGGTGGGAGATAATTTTAAAGGTTTAAGAATATGGGTGGTACAAATAAAAGATTTTTGTATAATTTGTAAAAAAAATAAAAAAATTTAGGATCATATCTGGAATTATTCATTTTTAATTTTTGCAATTTTTACTGTTTTTAACGGTAATATTAACGGAATTGGGTGGCGGGGGGTTTTTCGCACAAAATATTTCAAATATGGTTGTTTTTTTTTTTTTTTTTAAACTTAAGAGGGGCATTGTATTCTCAAGGAAGAGAAAAAGTGTCCAACCAAGGTGCTATAATATATAAAAGTTAAGAACTTAAATACCAAGAATTAAAGGTCAAAAACCTAAGCGATACAAAAATCATAAATTGAATCAAAAACAATATTACCTTTGTCTAAAGTGAACATACGTGGTAATTAGGTGTAGGCAAAAGAATTAGAACCAACCAAGCCAAACCAGAAACAGCCGATTCAGTTTGATTCCATAATCATCAATAGTTTTATTATAAGAAAACCATGATTCTTGGTTCGGTTCAGATTCTCTTCGGAACTACTAGACTATCCATGCCCACGTATGGGTAATGTAGAAAATAAAGATCCAAGAATTTATACCAATAACTAAAGGTTAGGCACCA